CGGCTAAGACTGCCAGCCATTATTCCAGAGGTCACAAGCTACACAGCTTCCCCAGGTAACACCACTATTGCAGACCTAAGATTGGCCTTTGGAGATATCTCTTCAGGCTTTTTGCATATCTGACACCAACAACTCCACATGGACCCCACCCACCACTCCTGTGGCCCTCTCAGAAGCGACTCAACCTGCAGGAGGACCATTTGCCACACCCCTACGGTTGCACCCCCAACCAATCAGCAGCAAGCACCCACTGCCTAGCTGCCCCCACCCCTTCCTCCTGAAACTGTATTTGAATAATTCCTAATATCTGAGCCTTCCAGGAGATTGACTAACAATGCCAACTCCCACGTGGTGTGGCCAGCCTTGTGTCAATTAAACTCTTTCCTGATGTAATGCCATGATCGCCATGAACAGATTTTGTTTGTGCTGCAGGAACCCATCAGGTGGTTATAGAAGTGACTCAGGCTATGAAAACACTGGTTGTCTAAAACAGGGGAAGATGTATGCTCAATAACATGAGAGGACTAAAGGAGTGTCCCCACTAGATGTTCCTGTTTTTCTGGTGGATCTGGGAAACAAAGGGTGGGGAGGATGCTGGGGTGACTATGAAACTCTCACTGAGGGAGGAGTTCGTTGGTATAACAATTATACTTTCTTCTTTCTTTTCTTTTTTTTTTTTTTTTGAGACAGAGTCTATCTCTGTTGCCCAGGCTGGAGTGCAATGGCACGATCTTGGCTCATTGCAACCTCCGCCTCCGGGGTTCAAGCGATTCTCCTGCCTCAGCCTCTGGAGTAGCTGGGATTACAGGCGTGTGCTACCACGCCCAGCTAATTTTTTGTATTTTTAGTAGAGACGGGGTTTCACCATGTTAGCCAGGATGGTCTCGATCTCCTGACCTCATGATCCGCCCACCTCTGCCTCCCAAAGTGCTGGGATTACAGGTGTGAGCCACCTTGCCTGGCCTGTATTTAGGGTTTTATGGTTGACTTTGGGGGAAAAGGACTCTGTTTTCTTTTTTTTTCTTTTCTTATTTTTTTTTTTTTTGAGACAGAGTTTTGCTCTTGTTACCCAGGCTGGAGTGCAATGGCGCGATCTCGGCTCACCGCAACCTCCGCCTCCTGGGTTCAGGCAATTCTCCTGCCTCAGCCTCCTGAGTAGCTGGGATTACAGGCACACGCCACCATGCCCAGCTGAATTTTTGTATTTTTAGTAGAGACAGGGTTTCACCATGTTGACCAGGATGGTCTCGATCTCTTGACCTCGTGATCCACCCGCCTCGGCCTCCTAAAGTGCTGGGATTACAGGCGTGAGCCACCACACCTGGCCAGGAAGACATAGTCTTTAAAAAAAATGTTGAAGTCACAGAAGACAAGAAAAGTTCTTTGTTCTATTCTTGTAATTTTTGTATAAATTTGAAATTATTTCAAAATAAAAACTCACCAAATTTAGCTATTCATCTAAATCTTTTCTATTCAATGTTGAGTACACCCACTATCATTATTATTACATTAAGAGCAATTGGGGCCAGTCACGGTGGTTCATGCCTGTAATCCCAGGACTTTGGGAGGCTGAGGCGAACGGATCACCAGGTCAGGAGTTCGAAACCAGCCTGACTAACATGGTGAAACCCCATCTCTACTAAAAATACAAAAATTTTTTTTTTTTTTTTTTTTTTTTTTT